AAAAAAAAAAAAAAAAAAGAAAAGAAAAAAGAAAAAAGAAAACATGAGACGCTATAAACAAGCGAGCTGCGAAAAATGGAGACAGAGAAACAGCCCATGCCAATAGATGAGGATTCCAACAACACAAAAGAGCGCACGTGTGCAGCTCCTTGCAGACAGCTTAGCAGAAGCCCCTCGTTGCCCTGCTGCTGCTGTCCCAAGAGCCCGTTTCCTTGAAGAAGGGATGCCGAGAAACACAAATGGAAAAACCTTGCGCCGATACCTATGCCTGGATGTCCGCCCGAGAGCCCGTTGCGCCAACATGATAAAACTAGTAAATCGACATGCAATAATGATTTTGAACCGCCCTTAAAGTCGCACTAGTTGAAAGTCCACTGGCAGTGACAGCTTTTGGAAGGATCATCCCGCCTCGAGAACTTCCTGAACGAACGCCTGGTACTACTATCGTCATCGTTGGTTGATGAATCAGGCACCTCTTCTTCCAAAGTCACGATGACATGGTTGCCGTATTCGTCCACGTAGGTTACCAATTCGCCGTTGTTGAGGAATTGCATCTTTTGGCACCGAGGTTTTTCAGAATTTGGAACCCGGCGCTCCTCAACCTTGACCAACCGAGAATACAGTCCGATATTGTCCACATCCGTGTAGCTGGAGCTGCGACGTTCCTTGGAGTTATCGTGTTCCTTGGAGTCGCGCCGTTCCTTGGGAACCTCCGTGGCAGTGGGATATTTACTGGTTGTCGTCCAGGTCGGTGCGGGGTGATACGTAGAACCTTCTCTCGCAAACCTTGTACTCGACGATGATATCGGGGTCGCTTCGTACGTGGTCGAAGTGGAGGTTGAACTCGAATTCGTCGTGTTTTTCTTGACGTAGATGAACGTTTCGATAAAAGTATGGTTGAAGACGCAGTACCATGGCGTGTCACCGGCAACCACTTGGCGGTGACGGAAGTTTCCCGGAGAAATAATGAAATCGGTGGGAGCAGTCCAGGGGGCCGTGCTCACAGTCGTATAGGCTTGAGCGTGTCGTTTTTTTACACTCTGACTGCTTTGTCCGGCCGCAAAGTCATCATCCCTCAAGATGACAATTTTCTGGTAGAACGCCTGGAAATGCCATGCAGGTCCGTCGCTGATATCATCCAGATCCTTGACCAAGGTCAACTTCTGTCTCGAAATGTCAGGGACCTGAGTTCCGTAATTAAGGGCTGTGTTGTTTTCCAGAGGTGTAATGTAGGCGCCGTATTCGTTGTCTTCGCCGTCGATGTTGATCTCCATTGACGGCACCTCAGCATCACAAGACCAAGCATCAGTCTGGCTGGATTCGGTCAAGCATGTGTTGCTCGACACGTCGGGGCTTTTCATTGGCAAGGCGAACTTGCCGGTTGGTAATGAAGGAAGGTCAGTGGGTATGGGAATAGTCGATGCGTCAAACATGGAAAACGTGCTGGCAATGGTAGAAGTTGGAGGACTGTGAAGATTCGTCAGAAAACAAAAATGGCTACAAGTTAGCAGAAAAAACACTTACGGTTGGTTGTGATGGCCTCCGCCTCTATCGTGCTTGTCAGCCTTAGGAAGCAAAGCACCGACAACGGCTCCGAGGACAGCCGCGAGAATTATGATGATAATAACCAAAACGATTAGCACCCATATTGGGACTTTTCCCCATAGTATTCTTGTCCTCCTCTTTTCGGTCCAACTCTTCTCCTTCCATGCCTTTTCCGACTGTTCAGCGCCTTGCTCGGCAGTAGGCCCATCAGGAGCACTAGGCTGTTGCTCCTGCGGTGGCTGCGGCGGTGGTTGCGACGGTTGCGGAGGCACCGGTTGTTGTTCGGCTTGAGGTAGCTGCAGCTGTTCGCTTGAAAGCCGGTCGTTCGGCGTCGCGGCATTGCTGGTCGTAAGAAGCATGTCCCGGGAATCAGCCGGAGGCGTTGCGGCACTGGCCGCTGGCGCTACTGCTCCCGCCGTCGCTACCACACCCGCAGGCCCCATTTCCTCAGGCACTGCCATCAACGATGCCTTCGTAGGGCCCTCTTCTGGGAACCTCGTGTAGGGGGGCAGCTGCTCCATATGGCCATCCGGTCCAATGATGTCTTGTTCTTCTCCATCGGGGCCTATTTGTCTGTGATATCCTCGGTCCAATCCAGGGAAGCCAACGGGAATCTGATTGTGCATGGGGGCGGTAGGCATGTGCTCCTCATCATCTTCGACAACATTCTGGGGATACATGCCATACGGATGAGTGGGGCCCTGTCCGGAGAATGATTGCCGAGGCGCCCGTGCCGTCGACGTCGTTGCCATGCTGGGCGACCTCGCTACACCGGTGCCTTGAGGATACATGCCATACGGGTGGCTGGGGCCAGAATTGCTGGGGAAGGGACTTTGCGACCGGTGTTCCGTCGCAAACGAGGACGTCGACGCAACGGATGCACGATGCGCCAACGAGCGGCCGAATCCAGCTCCAGAGTACATGCTGCTCCTGTCGGGCATGGGTTGCGAGGCGTTCGTAGCGGATCCGTCGTTTGCCATGGAAAAGGAATTGCGAGCAGAGTGGCCCTTGGTCATGCCGCCCGTGGGGGTTGGGGGCACAGGCTGCGTCTTGGTGTCCGGGGGGAAATTTTCAGAAATCGAATGCCTTATCGAGGACCGGTGGGATGGAGGAATAGAATGAGTGGTCGGGCCTTGGCCACTCTCTCGCCTCGGTCTGAAGCCATCCGCAACGCCAACTCCAAAGTCGTTATCGTTATCTTGGTCTACGGCATACTCGTCGTCGAAGACATTGGGGTTCCTCGGTGGCGCCTTGGGGTCGTCGCGGTCTGGTTGACGTCCATCCATTGCGCCCGGAGACCTGGCCGGCCCTGTCTCCTTATCCTGGGCGTGCGGCCGCCTTGGGAATGGGTCCAAGCAGTTGCGGGGCGATGCAAGTAGAACAGGCCGTGGGTCGGGAGGGGTGAGGGCTCTGGGGAACGGGCAAAGGTGGGCGAGTCGAGGCGGATGTTGGTGTTGATGGGTGGTGCTGCAAGTGGAGAGATCTGGGTTTGGTCACTGGTCACGGTTCTGCCGGCAAGCGCTCGCTCGGTGGCCGCTGCATGATTGTAGACTAGAGCGTTTCAGGCATGACATGGAAAGCCGCCTTTTCGAACAAAATAGGCAGACTCGGCGGCGCTGCCCCATTGCATGCCCTCTGCTCCATCGGAAGCGTTGATGAGGCCACAGTGCGCCGCTACCGTGGCCCTTCACAACATTGCTCCCCTCTCGACTGGTTCCTGTGGGACGCTTATGCCGCACTGCCGATAATGCGTCTACCCTCTCAGCCAATCGCCCCCTCGCACCCGCCGTGCCGGAGGGGCGTCAGCAAGATTAACCTTGATTTTAGCCTGCCCTTGCGCTGCCCTGGCTGGCCTGTCCTCGACTCCCATGCGCGTGCCCTGTCGCACCGCAACCGCTTCTGTTGCGAGCCCGACTCTGAAACTATGTGTCACGTGCCACGGCCGCCGAGGCTGCCACCCGCAAACCCGCATCGATGACGACGGTGCGTGCGGTGTTCCTGGGCGCCGCCGCCTAGGGCGGAGCCATCCGCTATCTTTGCCTCAATGCGGCTTAACGAGGGGAAACCATGGGCGCCGACCCAGATGACTTGTCGGCTCTGCCCCGGCCGCACTGCCCTCCTCCCAGCCCGATTTCTGGAGCCTGACCGAGCGCCGTGGGGCCGCCGACCATGCGGATTTTGCAACCTGTCGCTCGCAATGCCCTCACCACCAGCCCTCAGGCCCACGGGGTGGGTGAGCGTCCAAACACACGATTTTCGAACGCACGCCAGCCCGGCCGAGAACTCCCCCGTCGGTTGTCGCGGGTGGCCTGAGACCGCCACCGCCACAAAGGCAACTTTGACCGTGTGTCAAAGGCCTCCAAGGAGATCGGGCCGCGTTGATCCGCTTGGCCCAGGGTTGGTACGGTTCCGTACCAAGTACTACCCTTAGACGAGGGCTCTGTTGTTGCATCTCTCGCCGTCTTGCTGTGTTGTGTTGCGGTTGTTGCTACTCCGTAATGAACCGGTTCACGCTTGCCGTCGGCCTGTCGGTTCCTCGGTCCGCCTGTGTTCTTTTAGCTGTGACGGTCCGTTTGACAAATAGTGCCCAATCGTCTGCTAGGTCGAGATAGGGGCTGGGTTTTTTTTTTTTTTTTTTTGTCTTTTCGACTGAGACATGGCATCTTGTTCAGGTCGTTGATGGTGTTGATCTATATGGGTGTTGGGCATGGTCCACCGCAAATCGCTGCAACCTCAAAGTTGCGAGTCGCTAGGCAGTCTTGCAACCAACACTATGATTATGGTGGCTTGCCGCCTGTGCTAAACGTACGGATACTTATAATCGGGGGCGGGCCTTCACGACCTCTCATTAAAGCCGCAAGTTGCCTGCAGCAATTTCGAGGACGGCCGAGTCATTACCGGACAAGTGGGGATGGCTTCAGCGAAACTAGGCCTATAAGTCCGCCTGTATCCCGCCTCTGCTCCTACTCCTACGACTATCGAAACGAGTCAGCTGAGACGTGAGAGGAGACTCGGACTCTCTGTATTCGGCCTAGGGCTACTTCATAGGAGAGTTGGAAGTGTGAGATGAGTTTGAAAGCACTGTGTCTGGGGCTCGGTCGACTTAAACATGGCTGGGATGGGACGCCGCAGATGTCTTTGCAGCGGGTGGCTGGGGGCCATATACCGATTGCACAATAGCGTCCCTGCGCTGATGTCAGATCTCACAGGGAAGCAGTTTGGACGTGCTTCTGCTCAGTCAACAAGTGGCGGTCACTGTAGTCTTAAAGGCTACAAGACCCCATGCCGAGAGCAGAAACGATTGAACCGTCTAGCCCTAGCCGCTTAGCTCCTATACCAACACGATTGAGGTCATCGAGTCTTGTGAGAAGGCGACTTCCTGGGGCGAGTTCAGCTCGGGGGTGACTAATCGCTGATTAAAACCTCATCCAGGAGCATCCTGCGTCTGATAATCCTGTCAGCGACTGAAGCCGTTATTGCCTTCGGCGAAGTTCGGAAGGCCATTCTGATGGCATCATGGTCTGATCTCTCCACGGCCACGCAGAGTTGCGAGTTGAGTTGAACCGAAGACTTCCATGACCATTCGGTAGGCATAGAATTGAAGTCGTACGGAGGACTTATTCGATGAAACCAGGCAATCGCTCGCTCCGGGAGCAGCCGCCCGGAATGGCCACATGGCTCGTGAACGGTGGTTCAGCACGTGGAATTCCGACTTGGTCGGTAGATCTGACGTCGCCGTACTACCCCGCGATATGCACTGCCACCGTGCATTTTCCACAATGGGCACCGTCGAAAAAGAATAAAAGAGGTGTGGACAGCAGCTGGGTCGGCACGATGACAGCTGTCTGAGTTTTCACACTGCCGGAATGCAGAGTAATCATTCCATAATCCACCTGAGAGCGGGCGACCGCCTCGTTTTATCAATTTTTCCTTGTCGTCAGCAGTTCCGAGCCCCACGAGATTGATAATAGATTGATTAGATGCGAAGTCGGCACGGACGTTGGATTCGACGGTGTGGGGTCTCGCGGGCGTTTGGACAGAGAGAGAAAGAGTGTGATTGGAACCGTGGGTGGGCGATGATGGAATCCTGCCGGTTTTCGGCTGGGACATCGTATGAGGTCCCTGGGCCATGGTGGCGCCTGCCCGTTCCAAAACCAGTGGGTGAGTTTGTTGGCGGGTGGCAGAATTCCATGTGTTGAGGGCTTCCGTGGGAATGCCACGTCTGCCTTCATCGAAGCTTTCGGCAACGCCCAAAACGGATTACCGGCAAGGACGGGAAGGTGAGAAATCGCTGACTCCATCACCGTCTTATTCGGTGTCATCCCCGACGTCTTCCTGCAGCCTCAAGACGCGCCATGTTTGGAGGCGCAGCCTAACGATAAGTGAGCCGATAAGCCAACAACGAGGGCGGTGTACCTTGAGCTAAACTGCTTCAGGCAAGGATCTGGCGCACCCCCTTTGGGGTCCGTCCACGCCGTCCCACGGTCCCTGTCGCCGTTCTGCAGGCGTAAGAAAGAAATATTGTCGCCTTGGTTCCCACCTTTCTCTTCTGTTCATCCACCTCCATCCGCTCACTCCTCGCCCGAACACGCACCTTCCCTCGAAACAATGGCTCCTCAGAACATCGGTATCAAGGGCATTGAGCTCTACTTCCCCAGCCAGTGCGTCGACCAGGCCGAGCTCGAGAAGTTCGATGGCGTTTCCCAGGGGAAGTACACCATTGGCCTTGGCCAGACCAAGATGAGCTTCTGCGACGACAGAGAGGGTACGCTTTGTCCCCGCCGACTTTCTTGCTGAGTGCTAACCCGCCCCCAGACATCTACTCGCTCGCTCTCACCTCCGTCTCTTCCCTCCTCAAGAAGTACAATGTCGACCCCAAGAACATTGGCCGCCTCGAGGTCGGCACCGAGACCCTGCTGGACAAGTCCAAGTCCGTCAAGTCTGTCCTCATGCAGCTTTTCCAGGACTCGGGCAACACCAACATCGAGGGTGTCGACACCGTCAACGCCTGCTACGGCGGCACCAACGCCGTTTTCAACACCATCAACTGGGTTGAGTCTTCTGCCTGGGACGGCCGTGATGCCATTGTCGTCGCTGGTGACATTGCCCTCTACAAGAAGGGCAACGCCCGCCCGACTGGTGGTGCTGGCTGCGTCGCCATGCTCATTGGCCCTGACGCGCCGCTCGCCTTCGAGCCTGGTCTTCGCGGCACCTACATGCAGCACGCGTACGACTTCTACAAGCCCGACTTGACCAGCGAGTACCCCGTTGTCGACGGTCACTTCTCTATCCGCTGCTACACCGAGGCAGTCGACGCCTGCTACAAGGCGTACAACGCGCGCGAGGAGAAACTGGCCGCCGCTGCCAACGGCTCTGCCACCAACGGTGCCTCCAGCATCGAGACCCCTCTCGACCGCTTCGACTACATGTCCTTCCACGCGCCTACTTGCAAGCTCGTCCAGAAGTCGTACGCCCGTCTGTTGTACAACGACTTCCTGAAGAACCCCGAGAACCCTCTCTTCGCTGAGGTTCCCAAGGAGCTCCTCAACCTCGACTATGACGCCTCGGTCACCGACAAGACGGTCGAGAAGACCTTCGTTGCGCTGGTAAGTTCTTGAAGCCCGCCATTTACAAGCTACATCTAACATCCTGTTTTAGAGCAAGAAGAGGTTCGGTGCCCGCGTTTCGCCCTCCGCTATGGTTCCCACCATGTGCGGTAACATGTACTGCGGTTCCGTCTGGGGTGGCCTGGCCTCCCTCCTCGCCAACGTCAACAGCGACGACCTCCAGGGCAAGCGCGTTGGTATCTTCTCCTACGGCTCCGGTCTGGCTGCCTCCATGCTGTCCATGCGCGTCAAGGGCAGCACCAAGGAGCTCCAGGAGAAGCTCGACCTCCACAAGCGCCTGGAGGAGCGCCGGGTCGTTGCCCCCGAGGTCTACGACGAGGTGAGCATTCCCGAGCAAAAACAGGTGCCTGCGGGCTTCGTTTCAGACAGCATGCTAACGTCAGTGATAGATGTGCAACATGCGCGAGAGGGCCCACCTGCAGAAGAGCTTCGAGCCCAAGGGCAGCGTCGACACCATCATCCCCGGCACGTACTACCTGACGGAGATCGACGACATGTTCCGCCGCAAGTACAACGTCAAGGCTTAGATACCCCCCGCACGAACGGGAACGGAGAAAGCGGTGGCACGACCAATCCCCATCGATGGTGGGCACATGGCGTAGCCACGGCATCTCTCTATCCTCTTCTTCTCCGCCCTCACCTTTTTTTCTTCTTCTCTTCTCTACTTTTCCCATTACCCTTCCAGCCTGGTGTGCGGGCACCCAAAAAAGAAAACGCCAAACATGCACACATGCACACGCACAAAGAACGTCTGGATAGACGGGGGGCGGTGCGCTCCCCACACTAGCTCTAATAGATCGGCGCGGCCCTCTCTCTCTCTTTTTCTTTTCTGGTTTTCCTCTTTCCTCTCCGCTGTCTCTGTTGTTTTTTGGGACAGCAAGGAAGGAGGGAGCGAGAGGGGGCGCTGCGGTTGTACGTACCTTTTAGTTTTGACTCGACGAGGTGATGATTTGATGGATGGATGGATGGGTGGGTGGAGGGGCGTGGGAGGTTGGGGTGCGGGTTACGATTGATTGATTGATTGATATAGATAGAATGGTTATGTGGTTTGATGGTTGCGTTGTTGCTTGTTTGCTTGTTTTGTGGTACAGTGGTATGCTCGTGCCTTGATTTGTTAGGGTTCTTTGTTTGTTATTGTTGTTTTTGTAGTTGTTGTTGCGTGCGTGCTTTGTGTATGGCATGCGCGCGCGTGCTGCTTTGGTTGGTTGTGTTGGTATTATGCTGCCACTCCTACCGCAGAACAACCAAGCGCTCACACTACCTTTCCCTGCAGTAGTCTCACCCCTATAGCGTTCTCAGCGATACTATCTAGCTAGACAGGACAACCAGAGCTTAGAACCTGATCCTAGAACCTAGATCTCAAATGCTAAGTCTGACACCAATACCAACACCATACCAACACTACACCAGTGTAATCCACTAACCCTGCTCCGACCTAAACTAACAGACAGACAGCCTAGTTGACACTGACAGGCAGACAGACTAACAGGTATAAGTATAACAACAAACAGACAGACAAACAGACAGACAGACAGACAGACAGCTAATAGCTAGCAGCTAGCAGCTAAAGTCCTCAACGTCAACGTAAATCTAACAGCTGACAGGCATAGATAGCGTGACGGCTGTCTATTACCTATCACCTATTGCCTTCTATCTGTCACTTTATATATATAGCATGATAACGATAGGGAAAGCACTACGCATACCGTCGTATCGTGTAGGGGTTAGGTGCGCTGCTTCCACACACATACAACCTCTCCATACGACCCACCCTCTCTCTCTCTCCATACAACCCCCCTTCTTTTCGACACTCATTCACAACACGACACAACACAACACAACAGCCCAAGCCAAGCCAAGACGACAACTTCTTCTTTTCTGGTAGCTAGCACCTACCTACACTACAGTAGCTAGGTATGCTCGCATATCCCTCTCCCTTTCCCTCTCCTCTCCCTTAAAACTCCTCGCTGCGACGGAGCCCGCGAAAAACAACGAAAACGAACGTGAACGTAAAGTGAACACACAACACCGACTACCCTGTCCCCATCTTCTCCGGACATGAATGAGCGAGCTCGCGAGTGCTAACGTTGTCTTGATCTCCTCTCCCTTCGTTCTGCTGTTCTCGAAGATGAGGAAGCAGCGAGAAACACCACGAAGAGAAGTAAGCAAGCAAGCAAGCATGACAATTACATAATGTCCGTCAAAGAAACAAGAGAGAGCAGAGCGAACAGAGAAAATCTTGGAGCCGGTGTCATCGTAGCCTTTAAAAAAGCTGCTGCTACTTTATATTTTGCTGTCATTGTTGAGGTTGCCCCGCGCCAGGAAGATAAAAGGGAGGAGAAACAGAGAACAACTCGAAAAGGAGACAGGTCCTCCTTTCCCACTTGCTAATACCCAGAAAAGGAGAGAGAGAGAGCAAGACACCCCAGATTCGTGAGCAAAAAAAAGTAGAGAAAAAACCGTTAGCCGTTCGGAAGACCCAAACGCGCCGTGAAGCCAGCACCCATTCCCACAGCAAAAACCGAGTTTAGGAAAGATGATTGTGGGTGTTTGAGTGCTCTTCCCGCGTCATCCAGCCAAGACGGAAGGTCCCATCTTGTGTTGTCACGAGAGCGCCGTCATTGGTTTGCGAGCGATGAGTGGAGGAAAGAGGAAGTTGCTTTACTCCGAGGCCTCCTCCTCGTCATCGGCAGCCTCGTTGTAGGCGGCCTTCTCATCCTCGTAGCGCTTCTTGTCGGCGGCGGCCTTGGCCTCATAGGGGGCGCGCTGCTTCTCCGAGAGAGCCTTCCACTTCTCACCGAGCATCTTGCCGACCTCGCCTGTGCAACTCGTTAGTATTCGTCGGGCGCGGTCGCACTCGAGCCAATTGCGCCCGGGCGGGATGAGAGGGACGTACCGAACTTGATGCCAGGGTTTTCCGTGCGAACAGACTCGCGCTGCTCGTTGGCGAAGAACATGTAGGCCGACAGACCGCGCTTGGGCGCGTTGGGATCTGCAACACCATCAGTGAGCGACCGCGTGCGCTTGAGCGCCAAAGTGAAACGTACCCTTCTTTCTCTTGCCATCGGCCTTGGTGGCCTTGGCCTTGCGAGGTGCGGACTTCTCCTTGGGCATTTTGCGTTGTGCGAGGTGGGTTCTGTGGTGCGGTGCTGTCAGTTGGTGGAGCTCGATGAAGCTTGGGCGCGTCGAGATGGAACGCGGGTGAAAGACGCGGTCGCGCCGGCGAGGTGGGGTGAGAATTGTCGGATTGAGCGATGCAGGGGGGAAGCAGAGTCGTGCGCGACGCGTGCAGCAGCAGCAGCGACGGTGCAAGGCGAGATGGGGAGCAGAATGGCAGGTGGTGCGGTGCGGTGGTGGTGGGGTGGGCGATGGTCGAGTCGAGTGCGGCGGCCATGCACGCCAGCACTCGGGCGCGGTCGCCAGAAACCACAACAAAGCCCCGACAGAAGCAGTCGCGTGCAAACTCAGACGATGGGGACTTACTAGGCTAATTGATGCGACGGGGTGCGGGTTGCGAGAGGTAATGCGCCTGGGTTTGGGGTCAGCAGCTGGGCGGATAGCTCATGGCGACGGTGAGGTCAGATGGAGCGTCGAGTGGAGCAGCTTTGAAGAGCGCAGAAGAATCAGGCGGGAGGAGGGCAGTGTCGGGGGGAAGAGGGGGAAAAACGCGTAAAAAAGGGTGCGTTGTGGTTGCTGTGCGGCGTAGGTGCAGGAGCTTGATGCGCAAGCGATGTACTTACTATAAGGGATCCGTGGGCGGGCGGGTTTGTATGGCGAGCGCTGGGAGAGAGAGGTTGTGAGCAGCGGCACTCAGAGAGGCGGGCGGCCGGCCAGGTTTTGGTGAGGGAAGGGCAGCGCCAGCCTGCCGTAAGCCTGAGAGCCCGCGAGTCACGTGCCGCCCCCCAGCAACAACAACAACGCGCGCAACAAAGACGCCCTGCTGCTGCTTCGGGTATGGGTTCCTCTGTTGCCGTTGGCTGCTTTCCCCGCCCCGCCTCCCTTCTCCCTTCTCTCCTCTTGCTGTCATTGGAACTGCCATCCATCTTCCTTCCTGCCGGCCAAACGATGACGCGCCTGCAAAGCAACTCGACTGATGAGCTGCCGCAGGCCCAGTGTCACGCCCCCCCCCTCTCCACACTTGATTGTAATTGACCGGCCGCTTACGTTTGGCCCGCCTGCCCCGTGTCATCTGCCCCAACCTCTCTTGCCTTGCTGCGACGTCAAAGCCGCGTCGCCCACTGCCGTTCGCAGTCCGACTGACCCGTCCTCGTCCCACTCGCTCACGTGACCAGCCATGCTGCGCTTGGCCGCACCTGCCTGCCCGTCCACTCGTCCATGTTTATGAGTAGTCAACTCACCGCACGCCCTGCAGTCCATCATGTAGTTAACTAGGCCTCGCCGACGTTAGCTGGACGCAGCTTCCGTGGACCACCATGCCAAAGCACATTGATCCGACGAAGACAATTTCATCATTGAGCCAAGGAAAATGCAGTGAGCCGATTGACATGGCGTCTTTTTGAATTCGTAAATGTATGCTTTGACGGAAAGGATGAAAGATCTACTTGATCTCAAAAAGAAATTCCTAGTGACAAGACCACGTTGGAGAACTGTTGTACATACTCCGGAGTACGGATGCAAACGTGACGGGGACGTCGAACAATGAATGCCCACCTTTACATGCCGAGATGACAGCCCATGACAGGGGAGACGACAGCTGCAGCACCCACCAGGGAAGCACGCCTATGAGATGAAAGACAACACTCCCGCACTGAGAGAAGGAAGGAAAGGTGTGGTGGTTGTGGACAGATTGATAGCCAATGCCGGGGAAGCCGAAGCTGGTTACCCTAATGCACCGCGCTAACCCACGCGTGCGCGCGACATGCTGGTGCACAAAAGTGCAGAGAACCACGACAGGCCACTAGCTGCGAAAGATGAGGCTTCAAAAAATCAGGAAAGGCAGACGAGGATGATCGACAGGCGCGCCTCGGGGATAACACGCACTAAAGTCCAGGGATCTCGAGCTCGGATCATTTCCTCTCCGGTGTCCAGCCGGGGGGGGGGGGCGGTGGCTCTCTCTTAGGCCAGCAAAGCAACCCTTCACGCTCAACCCATAGCATCCCCCAATTTAAACCTGCCAGCATACTATTGTAAGCCCTCCTGGTTCACCACCACCGCCTGCAGGAGCCTCTCATCTCCTCCTCGGCCACACCCTACCCTCGGCGCCCTTCAGAAGAAAGCGCACGGCTCAGAGCCCTGACGACATAGCCGACACCAGAGCCTCATTGACTTGAATACAAACCAACATGGGCGGGTGGATGTCACGGTTGACCTCGCTGGTGTGGGCGAAGAAGGAGATTCGCATTCTTATCCTCGGTCTTGTAAGCGCGTAGAAGGGGCAGGAAGAGCGCAGGAGGAGCACTGGCTTATCAGAGCGCAGGACAACGCGGGCAAGACGACGCTGCTCTATCGGTTGAAGGTTAGTGCGCGATACGACGGCTGGCACTACGGACGGACGCTCACCCGCCTTGCGCGCTGCAGATCGGTGAGGTCGTCACCACTATTCCTACCATCGGCTTCAACGTCGAGTCCGTCTCGTACAAAAACCTAAACCTCAATGTCTGGGTAAGTCAAAGACCACCACCACCAAGGCCCCGCGACGACAACAGCAACGACAATAGCTAACAGACGACGTTTAGGATCTCGGTGGCCAAACCTCCATCAGACCGGTACGCGGCCCTCCCCTGCGCCTGCGCGCGCCCCTAACCCCGCGACTCGCGACCCACTGACACGCACCCCCCTAGTACTGGCGCTGCTACTACAGCAACACGGCGGCGGTGATTTTCGTCATCGACAGCACCGACATCGACCGGTTAGGCACGGCGTCGGAGGAGCTGGCGGCGATGCTCAGCGAGGAGGAGCTGCGCGACGCGGCGCTGCTCGTCTTCGCCAACAAGCAGGACCAGCCGGGCGCCAAGGGCGCGGGCGAGATCTCCGAGGCGCTGAAGCTGGGCGAGCTGCGCGACCGCAACTGGAGCATAGTTGCCTGCTCGGCCATTGATGGCCGCGGCGTCGATGAGGGCATGGATTGGTTGACGGTGAGTGTGCCCGCACAGACACACACTCATGCTCTTGCACTTTTGCTTGGCAGCTATGCTTGGCGCCAGACAGACAGGACTTTTTCGGCTGACCATTCTACCCACCACAGACTACGATCCAGGCCGATAACGCATAGTGCAGCAGGAGCGCACACCCTCGCGCGCGCTCGCTGGCTGGGGCGGCTGGGAAAGAACATACGACTTGTAATACCCGCATTATGGAGTTCTGGCGCAATTCTCAATGCACGGGAGCGAGAGAAACGGAAGAAAGGAAGGAAGAAGGAGGGACTTTGGGCGGCGTGTCTCAAGATCCGAACAGACAGACGGCCTCTTTTTTTCCGCAGGACAGGCTGGTGCTCGACATGACAGGACGGGACGGGACGGGACGGGATGGGTCCGACGCGCTATATGATGAGTAGAAAGAAGAACGGGGGGGGTTTTGTTTGCCCCCACCCCATCACTGATAAAGCACACTATGTATTAAGAATCCTAAACATTTAGACGGCTGGTATCTAGGTAGGATGGCGGGGTAGTGACGGTGTCGTCTTTCTTGTCTTCTTTCTCTCTCTCTTCCCCTCCCTCTCCCCCTAGTTCGTTCATCATTCCTACACACCAAACCTCCACCCCTCCATCCTCCCTACACGACCCCACACCAACCCTACACACGAAACTACCGCACCACTCACTCATTCCACTGGCTCCCGTACCCGCTGAGACACGCCCTCCCCGCCTCTTGATCAGCGCGCGCGCACGGCCACGGTGCGGCGACACGGAAAGCGCTCATGTTGCACAGGGAGAGGTGTTTTGGATGGTTAGTGTGTTTTGCTGGTACGTTTATCAGTCGGAAACTGTTGTAGCGCTGCTTCTTGTTTGGAGTTGGTTGTGTGCTGCGCTGCATTGTGCTGTCATGTGTTGGGATGTGTGGTCGGCTTGTCTAGGAGCTTCTCTTTTCTTCTGCTCTTCCTCTTCTTCTTCTTCTTTTTTATCGATATATATAATACCAGCACCCCCCTCTCTTTCCAGCATTTCTCCATTTCACAGCGCCGTCGAGCCCTGGCAGAAGGGAGAATGGGGGATATGGCTAAGGACATAGCTACGGGAGCCCATGATTGTCACTTTGGGCGTCGAAGGCGGTGCGCTGACTTGTGGACACGGAAGTGGTGTATAAAAGGGGGGAACTTTCCAGCCTTTCCAATCGACTCCACTGACCAACGTCTTCAGGCTCAAGACTCATTCTTCACAATTTCTCGGAAACTTCGCAGCGCGGAGTACTTTCACCGAGAGAAGTTGAACTGTCCCAGAGACTACGACGCTCGTCTGGGCGAATACGGTCCAGTTTCCTGCCTTGAGCTTTATTTGTCGTGGTGATGTGCGGCGTCACTGCTCTATAAAGCTATTGCTCAGCATCTCACAGCCCGTAGAATGGAATGGGAGTAAAATCAAATGACAAAAGCGAAAGTAAATGACAAAGGCGAAAGTAAACAACAAACGAAACAGAAAGGCAGCCAGCACCCGCTCCTAAGTTGTCTCTATCATCAATGTGTCCGCTGTCCTGGAAGGGTTTCCCGGTTGCTGCCAGCACAGCTCGGTCTTCGTCAAGGTGACTAGCTTCACGATTCCGCGGAGTATTTGTAAAAGACCATATCCCCTGTCTGCGCATCAGTATCAGTGGTGGTAGAGCTCCCCACCATAACCGCAGCCTTAACAGTCCTCAGACAAGACACAGGAAGGAACCGAAGCCCCGTGACACCGCTTCTACATTAACCACGGGCGCTTTTCATTTACAAGCCACCGCACCCCGACGCCGCAGCTTCGTGCTATCAGCTTACGGCGTATCCACTGCTCTCTACCTGAGTTTCATTTCACCTTCCCAGACTCTACACTCACATACCAGCAACAAGAGCCTGCGGAAATGCAAGGTAAAAGAAATATTAATAAGGGTATTTAAAGGAGTTGGTATAGTAATCCCAGCTGTATGTTTCACAGGCCGTGGGCAAGTACAGTCGGTTGACATGCTGCAACAGTACTTACATGTCCGTTTTTTCGTCACTGCTAGCACGGATTCTCACTGGATCAACTCTATATACTACTGCGATTTTACTGTTGCCTTTTTTTTAGTGCTGCTCGCCGCTGCTGGCTTGGGGTGGTGTGCTTTGTCGCTGCTTTGTGGTGCTGGGGAACGGCGTTGTGGTTTATAGTTGATCGCGGTTTAGGGAGGTTTATTGGCGTGGTTGGGAGTGCTGGCTGCAGGATGCAAGATTTGTGTATAGGGGTTTTTCGTCGGGAGCCGGAGCTATCCGCGCATGTCGTCAACTAGTGAACGTTCGTGTTCTTAGTGTTGATGCCGTTGAAGAGGCTGGTGTTGGAAGTTTATATATGTTTTTAGAGCGAGGTTAGCACAAGAGTCTGGCCGGAACCGGGTTCGTGTTGTGTGGAGCAGATCCGATTCGTTGCCAAGTCAGTGTGCGTTCGTTCCAATAAAAGCTCAAAGCAACTCGCTATGATTCTTACATATCTAGGGGACAGTATAAGAGAGCTTATATTCAGTGACATAAGCTTTAAGGGTCTTCGTAATATCCACATATCTATACGAAATGGTTTATTCCAAGAGCAGCATCAGTTCTGAACATCCAGAAAGTAAGACAGGGTAGTGAAGCAGAAGAAAAATAGTAGTATAAGAGCAGGGAATGACTACTTCCTATTCCCATTGAAACCCGCAAGATCATCCCAAATTCCTATGTTATGGATCACCAAAGATGCGGTTCATCCTTAAAAAAAAAAAAAAATACACGATCACATTATTCCAAAGACTGCAACGGAATGGTTTACAGAAACTGTAACACAAAACCTCCTTATCGAGGCGCAGGCTTTATAGCACCGCTCCATTATAACGCTCCCCATCACCATCCCACACTACCACACATCAACACACCCTCTCAGTACCGAACAACAGCATCTCGTGTCTCACCACAGCATCACAGTGCGGTTCTACAGACTAGAACAGTGAGATCTATCAGCCCGTGGCAAGGGACGAGAGAGAAGACACCCGGGGCAATTGAGGCAGCTAATTGGTCTTGCCGTTGGTTGATTCGAAGGCATGGGTAGACACTTACTAGAGTAAGCATCCCGTAACGAGAACGAATTTAGTGAGTGATGTCCTCCTTTTATGCCACTACCGCTGCATACAAGCCTCGCAACCACCCATCCTACACCCCGGCATCTCCCTAGTATCCATACGGATATCTCAAAATGATCTCCATTCTATATTTTACGCACTGCCTACGCAAACCCAAGACACCACACCAGCACACCAACCCAGCCCCCAAAAACCAGAGCGCACCCTGGCCACAAAGCGCACTGCCCTACCCAAAAGGCTCTACAGCACCTGCATGGTTCTACAGCACCTGCATCACCACCGCTGCCGCCGCAACCAACTGCAACCAAGTCCGCATCACGGAACAAGAAAGGGTGGCTAGGGCGCTTAAGAGTCAAGGCTTTCCGCACTGGCGGGGGAGTGTGTCTGTCCGTGCTAAAGTTTCTGAGCTACAGTAGACTGCGCGGAGGGATACACGCAACGCCCACTGGCTAGCCCCGCTGTTGGTCTTGCACGCCTACGCGTCACGGTGCTAAGCGGTAGCGTTAGGATGAGGTGCCGGTGAGCAGTGCGTGCTTTCCAGCCGCAGCGACGGGGTGTAGCGACCAGTGTCTACAGTGGATTGGCACATAGTTCGATTTGCCTTGCCACAGTAGTAGTGGTGGTTATGGTGGTTGTGGCGCGGCAATGCTGTCGCCGCTGTTGCTGCTGTGGACGAGGACGAGGACGTTGCCACTGTTGCAAGAGGGAGGACTGCCATGAGCACGCACTGTTTGAAATAGGTAGTCAGGAAAGATGTGAGGTGTTCTTGCCCCTTGATCATTACTCTTGGTTCCGCGCATCGGAGCTTACCAGCTACGTTACGTTACGTTACGCTATGCCAGACCAGGCCAGATCATCCAACCCCCAGTGACGTGCGTGCAGTGAGTTACGTTATGTGTATGTTCATACCCTCCCCTCTACTTCCATTCCCTTCCCTACAGCAAAACGCCCCCACCCAATGCCCCCAGGAACAAACACCACGCGCCCAACCAAATCCAACCTCCCATCCCGATTCCCATCTCCATCCCCGTCACCTTCCCCGCACCCCCACCAAGCCGCACCGTCTTCACCGCGCCACCAGACCCATCGCCATCACCATCCTTGTTAGTGTCAGTACCTCCCGTAGTCGTAGCATCCGACACAGACGCAGACGCAGACGTAGCGTCGCTGGTGGTGGTAGTCGTAGTGGTGATGCTGCTGCTGCTGCCAGCACCAGCAGAGCGGCACGGGCCCACGGTGCCGTAGAAGCTGTCGTAGCAGAGGGTCGAGTGCGAGCGTGTGCTTGTGCCTGTCCTGCTTGGGGCAGGGGAATCAGTCTTGCTCGTAGAAACTGTGTTCTCGGTCGTGCTCTCAGTCGCGGTCGTAGAAGCAGTGTTCTGGGTCGTGGTAGTAGTCGCTGTGGCTGAGCCCTCTCCCTCCACCATCGCCGTCGTCGTCGTACTCGTTGCAGGCGCGGCAGAACCGGCACTCTTGCTCGTGCTCATGCTCATGCTCCAGCTCCACCCCATCGGCGCCAGCGAGCTCGGCACGCTCGACACCGTGGCGTTCTCGGCTGAGGGCGGCGGCAGCGTCGTCGTCGTCGTCATCGGCATCGACAGCGGCTGCGGGTACCATTCCAGCGTAGTATTGGCATTGGAAGCGCTTGCGCTTGTGCCTGCGTGCGCGTTGGTGCCGGTGCTTGCTCCGGTACTGACGCTGGCGCCGGTGCTGTCGTCGGCACTGACACCCACAACACGACGCGCACCGAAGCCTTCAACAGCAGCACCTCCAAAGCCATCAATATCAGTGTCATTGCCCGCGCCACCAGCTGCAGCAGCAGCGCCCACCTGATCGCCCCTTCGCGCACCCATTCCCTTGCCCACAGCAGCAGCAACAGACCCTCCACCAACGCCAACGCCAGCAGCAGTGCCAGAACCACCAAGCACGCCCGCATCCGCAGCCACAGCGCCAAAGCTACTGAACACATGCGCGCGAGCGCGCATCAAGTCCGCGCAGTCGCGGGGAGAGAGCGAGTGGCGGAGGAAGTCGGGGCAGGGTTCGGTTTCGGCTTCTGCCTCAGCAGAGGTCGAGGCGACGGACGTGGCTGAGAACGCAGTGGTGGCCGTGGCCGTGGCCGTGGTTGAGGACGTGGCCGTGGTGGAGGGCGTGACAGAGACAGTAGCGGTGGAGCTGTGGCAGCCGTGAGGTATCGCCCGCTGTAGAGTGGTGCGTGGAGAGAGAGGGAAAGAAGTAAAGGAGGGAGGAGGAGGGGGAAGGAAGGGTGAGAGGAAGATGACTTACGGATCCTGGTGCGCGGAAGCTAGAACCATGGGGGTGAGGAAGGCGAGGACGAGGGCGACGAGGGCGAAGACGAGGAAGCCGGGAAGACGCATTTTGCGCATTTTGGTGTGTGTGCGTGTTTGCGATTCTGTTGTTCTGGTTGTTGTTTTGGTGAGAGGGTGCTGGTTGACTTGGGTTGAGGGAGGGGAAACAAAGGAAGTGGGATTTTGTTTTTTGTTTTGTTTTTGTAGCGCGATGTGGATGTGGCGGCTGGTGAAAGTGAAATACCTAGTGAATTGTGGATTGTGGATAAGGATTGCTGTGAGACAATAGGTAGGCTGGGCTGGGCTAGGCTGCTTTGGTATTGTGAAGTGGTGTAAATGATGGATGGTGTTCTGCCACTGTCTCTCTGTCTTTCAGTGTCTACAGAAACGTTTAGGAAAAAGTGCGCTTTACCTCTCTCTGTTCTGTGACGCTTTTACTCCATAGAGGCGGAGCTGAGCATCATGTTCGTATATTAGTATCTTTACAAGTATTCGACTGAGTAAACCTTCGCTCCTTCGAGTATGATGCGATGCGGTGCCAACCCAACCCAACCCGTTCAATCAACGGCTCTGTCCACCGCGGCTCCAACGAGGCACACCAATCCAAACACACGAAGCCCTGCAACGTGCGTCCAAGCCATTATCCCACCCCCAAAACCACCAACAGTCCCCCCTAAACCCGATACATATCCTCCAAATAGCTCACCATCCGTCTCTGCAACCCCAGCACCTGGGTCTCCGTAACCTTGCCCTTCGGCGCTTCCCTCTCCCCTTGCACGACCAACTCGGCCTTCATGCCAAAAAACGGCACGCCCAAGCCCTTCAGCTGCCCGCTCATAACCGCCACCATCTCGCGCGACGCTTTGTGGATCTTGGCATCCAGGGCGTGCAGCTCAGCAGCCGAGGCGCGCTGCGCCTGCAGCGCCTTGCGGCTGCCATGCCACATCAGCTCGTGCGTTGCCTGGTCGGCCATCATCTGAGATAGAGGTCAGTGAGTGGTGCACGCAGCAACGATTGAGATGGGCCGGAGATGGAGAAAGAGAGGACGGGAAGGGAATGAGATGGGACGAAAATACCCGCTGGATCTGCCCCTGGAAGCTCGGGTTCTGCGCCGCGATCTTGCTCACGCACCGCAGGCCCTGCGACCACTCGGTGATGGTCGCCGGGTCGATGACCGGCGGCGCGGGCTTGAGCTGCTGCTGAGGCGCGGCGGCGAAGCCGCGGGGAAAGTCATGGTGATTTGGACGGCTCGGATCCGCTAAAGCAGCGCCAGTAGGCTGCGCGAAGAATTGCTGGGAATTTGCTTGCGGGACGGGGTAGGTGGGATAGCCGGGCGGGGTGGTGGAACGCGTGGGAGCCGCGTGCTGCGGTTGCTGGGGCTTCAATGCAGCGAGGTTTCGAAGGACGGTCGCGAGGTCCGGCACCTGGTTTGAGGGTTGCGGCTGCTGCTCTGCCATTATGGTGGTGGAGGCGCGGCGGGCAGCGAATGTGGTTACTGTATATACGGTACGGAACGAGAGCTCGACAGTAGAGGTAAGTTAAGGAAACGCGGGCGACGAGATGCGGAAAGCAAGGGAAGCAAAGCGCGCGGGCGGATCAAAAGCGATTGACTGAGTGAGCGTCGCTCACATGGCCGTTGTAGCTAGCCAGCAGAGCGAGTCGAGGAAATCACTTCATTTACACACAAGGCAATGAATGGAGCAGACCTGTGACGTGGGGAGCATTAACAACCACCTCTCGTCTACGGCGGACGAGCAGCGCACGCGGCGCAGCCCTGCGGCGAACGCAGAAAGTTCGCGGACACCGGGACCTACCTCGTATGAGATCGAGCACCTTAGCAGCACCAGCAGCAACCAGCAGCCACCCCGCAACGGCCTACTCCAGCCGCATCATCGCACCTGCACCGCCGGGCAATTCTTCGCTGAATTGACAGCAAAACACACACACACACTGTTTTGATTGCTTAGCTCGCCCACTTACCCACACACACACAAACACACGCACGCCGCCACGATGCCACGCGCCGCAAAGGACGCCACCATGTTCACGGCGACGGGGCCCCACGCGCACTCCAAGGCGACGCAGGTCCCGCTCGCCAAGGCCGCCGCCCCCTCCGGCGAGACGCCGCAGCAGAAGATTGCGCGTCTGCGCGCCGCGGCGCAGCAGGCCAAGGTTGGGCAGGAGTCGACGTTCGACAAGGTCATTAGCAGAGGGCGGGTATGGGCGGACCGAGCCCACAGGGTCACGGCGCTGAGCCTGATCGCTGCCACTGGTACGTCTTCTCTCTCGGACAATGACGGCGGAGGAGGAGGAAGAAGAAGAGGAAGAGCAGCAGCAGCAGCAATGGATGCTTTCATCCCGATGACGCCGCGACGACATCAAGCTCGCGTCCTCCGTGTCTTACTGCCTAGTACTTAAGCTGCGTGGGCTAACCAACGCGCACAGGCATCGCGGGCGTCGTGACCGTCTTCGCCCTCGGCGACATGATGATCTACAACCGCCGGAAGCGCAAGGAATGGTTCCACGAGCAGAACCAAAAGCACGCGATTGCGCTGGCGGAAGCCCGACAGGCCGTGGCCGGCGGCGCCGCCACAGAGGACCAGATCCTGCTGCTGAACCGCGAGCGCGCGGCCGAGGAGCATGAGCTCGCCAAGAAGAACAAGCCGGGCATCTTCGGCCGCGCCAAGGAGTCCCTGTTCGGCGGGCTCTCGAAGGAGGAGAAGCAGGGCGGCACGCTCGCTGCTTCGGCCGCGACGGACGTCGAGGACGCCGCCAAGGGCGCGTGGGACACTATCCGTGAGAATTCACAGCAGGCGAAGGACGAGGGGCTCGGCATATTGCAGGCTGTTGAGGATAAGAGACGGGAGGGCGAGCATGCCGTCGCGCAGCAGTCTGGCGTTGCAGGAGGCCCGCTGGACCACTTGGCTGAGGAAGCAACTGCCGCGGCGTCTCAAAAGTCAAAGAGCTGGACTAGCTGGATCACCGGCCGGTGAGGGATGGACTGGTTTGAAGAGTATAAAAAAAAGTCACGGAGTATAATTTTCGTTGCTCTGCAATTGTAAAGCGGGGGCCCTTCCTGGAAAATTCACTGTAACATACTATACCTCTTTGCTTGGTTCAGAAGACGCAGCATAGAGGCGGTGCATATCAGAGACCGGAGCATACGGAGTAATTCGAAATTCAAACACGTGGGATTGTTTTTTGGGTACTTGAAGCATGAATGATAATCACCAGGACGCCTTCTCACGCCCATCAACTTGCCTGTGTCGGCACCGGCAGATAGGTCCGGCGTTCCTTGGTTCTCTGTCACGCACGCGTGGAATCAGCGGACGTATGTCTCGGTGCGTAGCGGAGGAGAAGGCAGACTTACTTCCTGAATGCGCTCGATATACGGGCGAACAGCAGCGTAAACGAGCAAGCTGCCAGTCGAAATGATAAAGATCAGAACGACGGCCTGATCTTTCGTAGAATCGCGCTCTAGCACCCCAATCATTAGACGCGGCACGCAGCGGCGCACAAAGCGCGGGCAGGACGCAGCACGTACGGAAGCAAGTGGTCATGACATCCTCCTCGGTCGCGCCCTTACAGATAGGCAGGTTATTCTTCTCGAGGCAGAACTGGCGGTTACAGTCGTTGCAGGTGCGCTCTTTAGTCGGCTTGCTCTTGCGCTGCGTGAAGACGTTCTTGAGCGAGTAGCCCGAACCGGAGGAGTACGAGGAGCCGGAGCCGGAGCTCGACGAGTAGCCGTTGGCGGGCGAGGTGGAGAGGCCGTTGAGCTGGATGATGGTGCTATTGGAGAAGCAGGTGCACTTGCAGAAGGAGGCGGGGGCTGCTCGCGAAAGAGAGAAAGAGAGGAGATCGTCAGCGAGTGTTGCTACGGTAGTGGGTGGGTAGGTAGAGACAGAGCGAGCTGGCGGGGCGGCGTACTGGCGGCCAGCGCGGCCGATATCAGGGCCAGCAGCCCAAGCAGCGTGAATAGGCGCCTGATCATGGCGGCGGGCGGGTTTGGCGGTTGGTCACACCCGTCGGGGAGAGGCGCACGACACAATGTCGAGACATGATGCACGCAGGGGCCTCCGGGCCGCGTATCAAATACCGTCGTCAAGCTGTCGGAGCTTGGCGCGGGGAAACGCGCGCTCTGGGCGCCGGGCGCTAAAGCGATTTCCGCCGCCCGCGATTTCTTTTTGTCCTGTTAGCCTGCTTGTGGACGGTGCAGCTGCTGCGCGCCGCAACTTTTTTTCTTTTTTTCCTTTTCCCGGCCCTTCCCTGCTTTTTTTGCTGACGGACGGGCTGGGCGACAATCGCTAGCGCTCCACGACATCTCTCCTCCTCTTCCCTCCTCCCGCTCTGTCTTCCCCGCTCCAGCTATGCCGGTTGCACAAGCGCTTACGGCCACGACGACCAGCTCCTCCTCCAACAACAAGACTGCCATCGACGGCGCCGCTGAGGGCAGGACGCGCTTGCATATCACGCCGCTCAACCCGGACTTGCTCAAGGTGTTTATCCCGCCGTCGGTTCTGCCGCACGCGACTGGCATCTCCTACCACACCGTCCAGACTTTCCCCGAAAAAGGCTACGGCTACGTCGAGATCCCCACCATGGACGCCAAGAAGCTGAAGAACAAGTTGAATGGCTCCATTCTCAGAGGCACGAAGGTGCGCGTTGAGGACGCGCGCCCGGAGAAGAGGAAGCGCATGGTGGAAGGGCAGGCGGCCGAGGGTGAGGGTGCAGGCGCGGAAGAGAAGCCGGTGAAGAAGGTCAAGAAGGTCAAGGGCGATCGCAAGAAGGGCATCTTGCCTGGGTTTGAGCTGCCGGACGAGAGGCAGGTCAAGCGCGGCTGGACGGAGCCTGAGTCTCACAGCAAGGAGCGTAAAAAGGATAAGAAGGAGAAAAGGGACAAGAAGGACAAGAGGAAAGAACAGGAGAAGTCCAAGTACACCAAGGAGCCCGAGATGCTGTTTAGGACGTCTCTGCCCCCTAACGCCGTGCCTACGCCTTCGTCCAAGCCCGACAAGAGCCTGGAGAAGCCGAAAAAGGCAAAGAAATCCAGCCGCGACGTTGTGGTTCACGAGTTTGCAAAGACCACGAAGCACGCGACCTTCCTTAAGGGTAACCAGGTCGCGAAGGACGCCAAGACGACGGCCGAGTTTGTCGAGGGCAAGGGCTGGGTTGACGAAGAGGGCAATGTCGTGGAACCAGAAGCCGAGCACCTCAGCAAGCGACGCAAAGCAAAAGAGCAAGCTAAAGCAGAGCGGAAGCGGGCAGCTGAACCTCCTGCACCCGCTGACGCTGAGACCGTCCCGTCGGGCAAGTCGTCCGCGCAGCGCATTTCCGACGCTCTGGAAGCGAAGCGCAAGCCTGCGAAGCTGGCCGCGTCGGCGCCAGATGCTGCGTCCGACAGTGCCGACGCCAGCGAATCCGACGCCGAGTCGTCGGTTGTTTCGGCTAGCTCGTCGGACGTGAGCAGCAGCAGCGGCAGCGAGGACGAAGACTCGGTCAACGAATCGGAGGCCGCGTCCTCATCTGAGGCCGAGTCCGACACCGGCTCAGAAGAGACAACCACAGAGGCGCCCGCTCAAACTCAAACCGCCTCTGCTGGCGCAGACACAGACATGCCGGACGCCGCAACGCCCAAAGAAGTGCACCCACTAGAAGCGCTCTTCAAGCGACCCAAGCCGTCCGCCGACGCCGAGGCAGCGCAGCCGCTCGCGCCGCTAAACACGTCGTTCAGCTTCTTCGGCGGCGGGGGTGACGAGGACGAAGACGAGGTTGCCGACGCCGACGCCACTGCCACTGCGCCGCACACGCCGTACGCGCGCCGCGACATGCGCAGCGCGGCGCCGACGCCGGACACCGCTGCCATTGGGCGCAAGTTCCCATGGCACGAGGGCGAGTACTACGATGATGATGAGGGGGAGGAGTACGGGGAGGAGTATGGCGAGGGCGAGGGGGAAGAGGGCTATGCCGACGAGGGCGGGGATGCGTACATGCTGGACGCGAATACGGTGCCGTTGGGCGCGAGGGAGGGTAATACTGCTGGTGCTGCTGGCGCTGCTGCTGCTGGTGCTGGGGATGCAGAGCAGTCGGACTTTGCGCGCCATTTCTGGGAGCAGCGGGGCGAGTATAACCGCGCGTGGAAGAAGCGGCGGAGGGAGAGCTTGAAGGTGCAGCGCCAGAGGGAGAATAGACGGTTGGGGAGGAAGGTCGTCTAGTTTGTTTTCTGTGTAGATGGCAGAGGCAGAGGCAGAGGCAGATGATGAGAGGGGCAATTCAACAATTGCGTGTGCTGGTGGTGATGGTCAGTAGCGTAAGCATGTAGGTAGGTAGGTAAGCACGCCGCAAACCTCAATCTCAACCTCAATCTCAATCTCAAACCGAAGCAGTACGCAGTAACTAAGCAGTAGGGTAAGGCCAGCAACTGGTGCTGTGATCAGCAACAGGGATCTAGGCACGTATGCCTACTACAAAGTCACGAAACGGATGTGTACATACGCCCCTAGTCCCTGTCCCTGCCTTTCTTTATCCTTGTCGATATGCACGCATGTATGCATGCATACATCCCTCCAACAGGGGCCGGGCGGCGGTGCCGGTGCCGGCCCTGGCGAGAGCCCTGGCGCGAGGTGTAGGGAATGTCCTTGTCTGGGGGTGGTGGGCATGCGTTCGCTCATTTTATTCTACTGTAGGTACCGTTTCTCCGCTGGCTACGCACTGGCTGACGCTGACGAGATGGGGGGCGGCACGGCTGTTTTTACGCCGCTGCGCTGCCGCTAAGCTGTTGGTGGTGTGTAGTGTGGTGGTGTGCGACACGGGCTGTTTGTCTGAAACGTGGGGGTTTGGCCGCGATGGTTGGGATGAATGGGATGGGGTGGGCTGGTGTGGTCGGGATATGGGTACGTATGAAGGGTGTGCCTGCCTGTCCAAGTCATCGTGATCTGTCGGCGAGTTGTCTCCTTGTCACTGACATCCATGGCAGGCTAGGTAGCGTCCATCCATCCATCCGTCCATGAGTGAGTGCACCCACTCACTCAGTGTACTCAGTCATTCACCCACCTCTTCCCGCACCGGACGTCGCACACGGGCGCGGAAGCCGGAATCGGCGCCCTGTGCGTATGGCGTTATACGTACATACACACGCCTGCACGGTCGGCGAGATAACTAGGTACCTATATATGTAGGTGCCTAAGGTGCCGTACCGTCAGTCAGTGCCTGGCGAGGTAACCACGCACCGCGTACTGCGCACTGCGTACAGTGTGTGTATGGGCGCGCGTGCTGGTTGTCGGATGCTCGTGATGTTGCACGCGCGAATCTTGTCACTCCACTTTGGTGGTGGTGGAAATGAGACGGGCGGGTCCGGTGGGTTGGGTCGCGGCGGGAGGTAAGACAGACGCGGTGTGTGTGTGGGATGGGCTGAAAGAGCTGCGTGTTGGTGGTGATGGCTGTCTACCTCTCTAGGTATTTACCTACCGGCCTACCGACTACCGTTGTAGGGTCATAGGTGTGCTGTACGGTAGGGAGGTGGACAAGTTGCGGCCTCCATGTAGGGCAGCGCGTACCTGCATGGCGGGCTGGAGAGTAGGTCGGGGTGGGTATCAGACAAGCAGGCATAGGCACAGGGCAAACAACGTTTCTTCGCCGCTCTCAGCGAGGCGCAGCGCCATGGGCCGGGGGCTTGCTTGCGCGCATCTGGATGGCGGGGTACCTGGCTGTGGCGTGTGTGACTTGAACTGCCTAGGTAGGTACTGTCTTCACGCATCCAACCTCACGTTACCTAGGCCACTATGCGCTGATACCGTTGGGAGACGCCGCTTCGTCTCGTCCTTCTTCTTCTTCTCCTCCTCTTTTTTCTTCTTCTTCTTTCTCGCTTCTGCGCTCCGCTGCTGCTGGGGTCGAGTGCTGTGAGCGTATATGGTTGCGTCATCCGCTGGAGGCTTCATGTCCTTGTCTTGCTTGCGAGCTGCCTTCGTCCCTGTGGCGTGCTTTCTCTTGTCTTCCACTGCTTGCAGCTTTGCTTCACTCACTTGATGCCCACGCGCTGTTGTACGGCTCTGTCATTCGCTACCTCTTGGTAAGTCACAACTACTTCTGTTATAGTCCCCGCGTAATGTGCACTTCTCTCTGGACTGTTTGCTCGTCGTCCTATTATCTCTTAAGAGCTTACTTTATCCACTGAATACTTCTGGGTAAGAAGACAAGTTATATGCCTACGAAAGTCCGCATCGTTCGGGGTGCAAGATGGTTGGAGAGGGTAGCAAGTCCTCCGACGCCACTCCTAACACCATTCCCGGACCGGCAACCACCTTCTTTAACATCACCACGCTTGGACACACTGACCCTACGCACCGCAGACTTTCACTCTCAGCGCGTGAATGCTTCACTCCATTTTGGCATCTTCCATTTTTTATCATCTATTTACTTCACATCAACTTCAAACCCAAATTTTCTGCTAACTAAAATATAAAAGCACCCTTCTACACCAACTCCATGCCCTCCGTCACCGAAATCAGTCCCCGGCAGTCCTCACCCGCCATCGTCAACATGGACGGTCCCGCCCCACCAACGTCGCAACCCAGCGGCTACCACCTCAGTCCGCGCCACGACCCAGAGACGTTTTCGCAGTTCCTTCGCGATGCCGAGGCCCTTGACGGCACTGTAAGCAACGCGAGTGTCTGCGGCAAGCCGCCTGTCCGTGGCCTCTATCCCGCCCACGCGAAGCTTTTCTGCGCCGCCATGGTCGCCGCGCTGGCCACCCTCGTCTCCGCTGTCGTGGCTGGCTCAGCTCTCGTAATCAATAAGGACGCCAACGACGACACAAAGCTCGGCTACGTCATCTGGCTCACCCTTTCGATCGTGTCGTGTATGGGCTTTGGCGGCATTGCATTCATCTTTTGGCGCCAGCGCAAGGCGCAACGGTGGGTCCAGCGGCGCCTGGCTTTCCTGGAGATTGCAAAGTACCGGACGGAGCTCGAGAAGAAGAACACCTCTGAAGCGGCGAACCATCCACACGACTCTCGCCCTCAAGTGCGCACTGAAGCGGACTTCGTGCTTCAGTCTCCTCCAACCACTCACGAACGCGCTGAACGCACCGAACGCGCGCAAAGCTCGTCTGCTGCTACTTCAAGCAGCAGGGCTACCGGCGAGGGCTACGAACTGCGGTATATCCGCTCCCACCTGAGCGACGCCTCGGAATCTGAACAGCCGCTTCGTCCTATCCCGCTGCCGCCGCGCACGGTTTCCATGAAGACGTGGAGGCACTCTACTGAACCTACTCTTGTCGGCTCTCCCCATATTGCGCCTGAGCCTACAGTTCCACAGCCCGAGCCCGTCCAAGTGCTTACGTCCAGCACGCCTTCACTTATACTAAACACCTCGCGCACATCTTCCCTGCTCCCACCCGCGCGGATCGACTCGCAGTTCTGGGAGTCACTGAAGCCGCTCCAGCCACGCGAGCACACCGAGCAGCCCGACGCTTCGACTCCGCCTCGAGACCCCAGCGCGCATCACCAGATCCGGCCGTCCTCGCAGACGCTGCCAGAGAGCCACATGCCGTTGTTAGACGCGCATGTCAACACCGAGACTGCTGGCCAGCACGACGCTTCGGAGCTCGACTTTGGGTTCAGCGCAGACATGGAGCTCGACCCCGACGACACCGTCATCATCCACACCCTGCACGCCAGCTCGAGCATCGACCCGCTTCCCGCCAACACGCCCACGTTGTTAGCGACCACACCGGGCAGCGTAGACAGCACACCGCGACGAGACTCACACATCGATGACAGCACCACGACCGCCACCATCACCCTCACCAACACCAACGCCACCACGACCACTCCCTCCAAACCCAGCAAGCCCAACCTCACCACAAACGACGCAGCCGAAACCCCAGACGACGCAGCCCGCCGCAACAGCCTCACGCTCCTCCTCAACTCGCCGCACCGCCCCCTCGCCCAGCTCAGCCACTCTCTCCCCACAGAGCACGGCTCGCCCTCGCCGTTCATCGTGTCGCTGACGCCGCCCACGCCCACGAAGCCCCGCCACCGGCGCCTGCCCGAGATCTCGTTTCGGGAGCGACTGCAGCAGTGCCGGGACGCGAGTGCGTCTGGCGCTGGGTCTGGCAATACATTTAACGCCGCTGGCGGTGGATTGGCACTTCCCCTTTCTCATCAAGAGAGCGCGGGCGCAGGTGCGGCGTTGAGTATGGCGGAGATGGAGGACTTGTTCCCCTCGCGCGTGACCTCGCTGTGTGAAGAGGAGCAGGGCGAGGATGTCAGCGTCTTGTGGAGCGGGGTTGCGTTTGGGACTGCTGGTACGCATCCCTCGCCCGTGGCAGCGGTTGAGCTGTCGCCGTTTGAGCTGCAGGAGTATGAGCACGAGTGCGGGCATGGGCATGAGCGTGAGCATGAGCGTGAACATGAGTACGGGCAAGAGGGCAGTGATGAGGACAGTATAGACGCAGATGCGGACACAGATGTGCGAGGGAAGGAGGACGACGGCAGCATCAACGACAGCAGCAGCGCCCGCCCCGCCCACCGCTGGGAAGGCGTCGTGCCGTACGAGGGGACATGAGTTAGCAGGAATTGCTTTAGGGGCACAGGAAGTGTACAGGAGATGCACGGAGGGAGAGAGAAAGGGAGGAGGGGGAGAGGAGGAGCTAATACCGCGCTCACATGCTTGCTTGATACCTGCTGCTTGTTGCTTGCTGCTTGTTGCTTGTTGCTTGATACCAACGAATGAATGTACTGTACACTGCCTGCTTTGCTGTGCTCTTCAACCTTTACTATCTCCACTAGCTACCTCCACAACCACCTCGGCACATCTACGCCTACGCTTAAATAAAACACGCCACGCCCACCGCGGACGGGCTCGCGTCCTTAACGTCCGGGGCGTGCGTCCGGGTCCCTGCTCTCGTTGTATGTGTGTGTATGTATGGACGGCTTTGAACTGCGCGCGGCCGCTGGACATGCTTGCTCCTCTGCGTTGAGGTGAGGGGGTGGGTGTGCGGAGTGCTTCTTCTGAAGCTCTGAGCTGTGGTTTTCGGTGTAAGGCCTAGGTAGGGAGGGTCTCAGTCGAAAATACATACATACATACATACATACATACATACATACACACACAGCGGCTTAAAACAGAACAGTACGTTGCCCTTGCAACCCCCGTACAGTCACCAGAAAAAGAAAAACCAGCGTGTATGAAGGGCATTGCACAGCCCGTGAGCGCGCAGCAGTAGCAGTGGCATAAAAAGCGCCTCAAACAGCTCACCAGCTACCACCTCAGCTCGCTACATCACATCAATGGCTCAACACTCTCACCCCAGAGATCTTCACTGCCCCGGGTGTGGTCTAGTCTCCATCCCTTGCCACAGCCCACTAACCCGCAGTCCTAGTCCCTTACTGTAGAGCAGGCACTGCTGCGCATGGAGACGTGACGGTATTGTTCGTCGCTGGAAGAGTGCG